TTAAGCCGTCAAACAGCACATACACCACGGTAGGACACGGAAGCACATATCAAAGTCTTCACTGATGGGGCTGGTCAGCTGTCTCCTCTGTAATACTCTGTCATGCTGTATATGAGTGAAGAGACTAGCAAGAGAGCAACCAAGTCAATTCAGGTTATATATACAAACATGTGTATACATACTTTACATGTATACATAGTTTACGATCGGTGCAACAAATGACTTCCATCTACCACAAAAAATGGACATGCCCTTTTACCACATTTCTTTGTGGTGTGCTCTCAGTATGTTTCAAACATTGCTCTGTAGCCGTAGTTTGAGGTTTTTCTTGTCACAGTAGCAGCAATATGTGGCTGGTATGAACCATAAGTCATGTAGAGCTCAGCCAACGCCTTCACTGTATTTATCAGGACTGTCAACAGAGCTTCATGTGTATGCATGAGCAATATTCTCAGAGTGGAAGCTGAGCAGCATCTCTTTCAAGGCAATACTTTCTACAAACACTACAGTTAATATCGTCTCTTCTATTTACATTCGTATTTGAGCTACTCTACAATATCAGTGATACATAACCTTTTCTCCTTCATGATTGTTTTCTCAGTGTTTCCTTTTTCATTTCAAGCACTAGTGCAGTGATCATTCTAAACCTGCCTGTTTGGAATGAGCTGTTTGCAGCTTTCTTTCTGAAACTGTAAAGGTCACCTGCAGTAATTCAGCTGCGATAAGTTAAAGACCTGCTGCTGAATTCAATCTGCAGAACCCTGAGGCTGCGCCACTGCTGCTGCACATAGAGCTGTTCAAGTGTTACTTCAAAGTGCAGTGAAGCTCCACTCTGTACGCAGGACCCTGAACTTTACAAACTTACCATTGTCGTGAATGCTTCTGTTGTGTTGTGAACGTGCCCATTGTCATGCTGTTGTTGTGATCGACAGCGTCACTTATGATGTTGAGGCCCAAACGCTGCTGCAACAGAGCACTAGTCACCTTTTTACGAAGTTTATTGATATTGAAGGTATTGTCTGTATTGCGTGTATGTCCCTTAACAATACACAAATATACAAGTGTGAAGCTGGTAAGATGGACGGTTCTTGATATATGTGCAGCACATGCGTACATTTATGTCATTATTATATTTAAAGTCAAAAGATTTGACCGATTGATTATTCAATTTATTTT